AGAACATGACAAAAGGAATCCTGGGACATATTGAATGTTCTTCATGAGCTTTTTTACAAAAGTAATGCATAACTCAGTATGTAAATATCCACACAAACACTAAGTACAGTATCAATAGATCGCCTGAAGAAATAAAAGCCTTGTACAACCAGCTCTAAGGCAGCATTTTTCTAGCCACTGCAGCACATGAAGGTTAGCCCTGTCAGCAGCCATTAGCACCTCCCTGCAGAAGCGAACTGCATGATTCTTTTAATCTGGTCCTGCATTGCTGATGAATATAGGAGAAAAAAATCTTTACAGTGAGCATCCATCTGAGATACACATCCTGGGCAAAGAGCAGCTAATTAGATATGACTGAAGTTAATTATGTTTAACACTGAGCAAATATACCCCGAGCAATAGAATGTGACAGAGTTCCTGCTGCTGTTTCCTTTGGTGGAGGCACAATGAGCAGTTCCTTGGTAAATGTGGATAGGTGCTACCATCACATCACCCCTGGGCCTCACTGTCATTTCTTAGATAACATTCACCCTTCTAACCAAAGCCAACAGCATCCTCTGGTGTGAAATCCTTTGCAGCTGATGAAAATTAACACCCACCACACGATGTGTGCTCATCCCCAGAATTTCCCCAGTGCTCTCATACAGTGCTGTGTATGCAAAGTCACATCTGGAGAACTGTCCCAGTGGTGGTTGGGCTTTCAGCAGTCCCAGCACCACTCCATGCTTCTACAAGTGTCAAAAGTGTTCCCTGCTTCCCAGTGTGGCCACAGCACAGTGCTAGCAGGCTGGAAAGCAATTACTGACACTCAATGGCCTGCTGTTGCTGATGGGATCAGCAATAGAAACGGGTCATTCTGTAGCCTCAGGTGTTTGTAAAGAAAACGATGGAATGGGTGTTCCATTAAGTAAAGAGGCACCACTGGGGCTTGTCTGTGTAATTTTCAAGGGCAGTCTGTCTGCTGCTATATTGCTCCATAACTATTGATTAAAAATGGTAGCAGTAGCAGTTTGTCTCTTCCTCTCTTGTCTCTTACAGGAAACCTTGCTTGATCAGTTTACCGTGTTCAGAGGAAAGAGAAGCGCTGTATACATCCTTAGAGGTGCATGGTTTACATTTCCTCCTGAAGAGAAGGAAAGGACTGGTCTTTTGTTGACTGTCTAGGGTAGAATTCAGAATCACTTGCCTGTCTCACGTCCTCTCCCCTGCACTATTCAGCTGATGTTTTCATTGCTGGGATGAGACACAGCTGTCCCAGGGAGGGCTAGGCTGGGGACCAGCCCCGCAGCAGGCTTGCTCCAGGTAAGCTGCAGGGGCTGGAGGCATCACGTGCTCGTCCCATCTAAACAGCTGGAGTTCACACTGGAGGCAGTTCTTTAATATTGTGGTTCCTTCTCCAAGTATAAACAACTCATCTGCCTTTTCTCGCTTTGCCTCAGAGCTCAGCATTCTGAAATTCTCAGCGTGGTTATTCTCACATTAGCCTCACACAGTGAAGATGTGATCTTTACAAATGAGAATCTTAGCCAGAGCAAGTAATTTTCCAGAGTGCCACAGTGAACCTGGAGCTGAAGGGGGAACTGAATTTAGTCTCCCATATCCCAGAATTACTGCCCTGCTCACCAGCTCTCAGCCAAGCAAAAAAGTCCTGTTACAGGGCTTCCGTTGACCTGAGGGGGGATGAGCTGAAATATTCCAGTGCCAGCCAAGTGCTAGCAACTGGCATTTGTTACCAGTGGCTACCCTCACACCTAATAGCATTAAGGAGGGCAAAAAAGTTTGTTGTTCCTAGGTGGGCAAATGCTTTGTATTTATACCGTATCTTTCATCTGAGATTCACAGGCATTTCATGTCTATCAGGAACACATCATATTCACACAGACAGTAATATATATGGCATCATCTGATAATCAAGTGAAGCAGAAGACAGTAAAACAGATTACCAGGAGGGAGAGCTGGGAACATTGCCTGTAATGCACCATTCAATAGCCTTTATTATCCTTCTTTTAGTCACTTTTTTAGGTGGCAAAAGCTTCAGTCTAACCTGGCCTAATACAAACTAGAACCCTACCCAAACTAAAGCAAAACAAAATTAAGCTTTGAGAAGCTCTGGTGCTCATTGATTTTCTATTATTTTTTATTTTCTTGCCTAGTTGAGCTGGTTACAGAAGTGTCAATGCACTAAGAAGGTGGCTCATCCTGCATCTATTTTTGGCTGTGTGTAGTAGGAACTGCAGAGGCATGTGAAAATGGAAAGAATATAAAACCAAATCAACAAATACACAGAGTCAAATATGATCAGTGCGTAGAAAAAAATAGCCTGAGCAATTTTATTAACTTTTATGCCTCTTAGATACAAGCTTGGTATTTTCAATCCATAATGCCACTGTGAACTCATGAAGAAATCATCTTCCCACTACAACAACAAGGTCCAAAAAGATTATTATGTGACCATGGTAGGTCAACAACCACAGGAGAGCATGGTCCAGCTGTGCTGCACCCCACTTTGAGCATCTCTGAGAATGTTCATCTATCGTGTGGTGGAGACTCCTTCCAACTTAAAAATTTTTAGACAAATATTAAAGTCAGGTGGTTTAATCTCGTGGTTGAAATGGCTGTGACAAAAACATGGTCTTCGCTGGGGTCCTGTGTGCTCCCTGTCCTCTAGCAGTACACCTACCCTTGTCCAGCAGCATGCACTGAAATAGAAACAGAAATATCTGTTAGAGTTTATATGTTTCCTTCTTTTCCAGCTCTTTGAGAATTGATTTGATTATTTGGGTAAGTGTGGGCATTTTTCTGAGAAAGGGACAGATCCAGAGGAACCCACTGTGAGAGGGCCAAGCTGGGGAGAGAAGTTTTGTGATGAGTTGTAACACATGAGGCTCCTGGCCTTACTTTCCACCATCTGTGACCTGTGCTCTGGTCCCAGGAAAGTGGATTGTCTCATTAACCTTCTTTCTCTGGTTAACTCTTTCCCTGGCAGAGCACAGCAGTGCTGGTAGAGCTTGGGAAATCCTGTACTTGAGGGAGAGACAAGTTCTGCATTTCCACTTCAGTTATTCAGCAGGTTCAGTCTGTTGAATGAGTAACCTCACAGTTACATCAGTACATGATCCACTGGTAGGAATTAGGACAGCTACTACCACAGATCCCAATGTGCTTTGAGAGCTGGTACTTTTGTTTACAGTAGGTCCTGGAGCCAGACCATATACACATACCACATGTGACCTTCTTCTCCTCTTCTATCAAAGGGGGTATGTATTAACTATTCCAGCAAACGTGAGGTATAGCACTGCTAAGAAATGGGAGCCTAACTACTCTGTTCTTCTAAGAAAGGATGCATTTGTAAAAAAAATAAATCATCTCCAGTCAAATTACAGTCAATTATCATTGCCTTCAAGCCAAGATATATTAGCTCTGAATCTGCTTTAACTCAGTTACTGAAGCACACTGGAAATGTCATTCAATTTGGAAAAAAAAATATTATTACCTTTTATTCCTTAGCAGTCAAAAAGATTTTGAAACAAGATTAATGGGGGAAATTTTCTTCCTTCTATCTGTAGCTTTTGAAAATTAACAATGCTTCTTTTATTTTGGTGTAATGGATACCTGACAATCTTCAGTCACTGGACTGTCTTCAAGGCATCATTGCATTCACTTCACATGCAATTAACTTTTATGACTAAAACATATTTTTGCTTTTTTTTTTCCCCTGCTGCCATCAAAATATGAATTTGGACGAAGACAAATGCAAGTATATACAAAACTATCCACATGCTTTCTCAAACCCCTCAGGCCAAGGATAGCTCCATCACAGTCTGCAAGAAGGTGGCCACATTTTCGTGCTTAATACCTCACTTCAAGTGTAAACAGACCCCAAAACACACAGTGTTTCCCTCATAGCAGCTCAATTTAATGCAAGAAACCACTGGAATAAGGAAGCTTTTTGATCCATAAAGCAGAGCTGTAATTTACATTTTGTTCTGTTTTTCCTTCTTATCACCAGTGCTGTCAGAAGACTCTTGATTCATTATTGTGGCAATGGAAACACTGAAGCACTGAGACAGCGGCATGGGTAAATGTGGAAGATGAAATTACTGACTGACCCGCTATTCCAGGACACCGAGGGTGTCCCAGGAGATTACATTGCTGGAGGGAAACACAGCCTTGCTGATGGGTAGCTTTAGCTCCACGGGAGCTTGTGATCAGGACCCAGAATTATTTAACAGAGAGTGAGTGAAGAAAGCAGAGCACAGGGGAGCAGGTTTTGTGGGAAAGCAAGCAGATATAACTTTATAGCAATCTGATTTTTGAAACAACCTCAAACAACCCACGCAAGCAGGTCTTAGCTAGTGCTAGTGACCCTGTACATAGCCTGGCAGATTTAGGAAAGTGCAAAGTTGCCTCTAAACATTCACCCTCTGCACTGGGAGCCAGAATCCCCAAACCTCCCCTATATGTAATGCTGGAAATGACAAAGCAGCAGTGAGACCCAGGGTTAAAGCTTGTGACAAAGCCAGCAACATACCATTGCTAAGGAGTGGAAATCCAGTGGGACCAGAGATCTGTGTCAGATACTTGCCCATAAGCTCAACGCCGGCCCACACAATTTGCTACAATGCAAATCTAAATCCAAAAAAAATGCAAAATGCACTTTTCCAGAGGCTAAATAAGGAATGCAGGTTTCCATAGCAGCTGGTCACCCTCCCCAGTGGCTCACCAGCACCACCCACTCCTTGCAGGAGGGTGTCCCTGTGGCTCTGCCTGCACACACTGGGGACCTGAGTGTGCTGCCCGGTGCCCTGATGAGCCAACAGGTACTGAAGGCGGATCTGGAGCACCTGGCTCAGCCCTGTGGGGAATGCTACAGTACTATAAAACACAAGGAATTGTTTCAAAAAGAGGCTAAGAAAAGGATCCTGTAGAAATTGTGCCCAGTCTCGTTACTGGAAATCTATTTGACGTAGTGAACAAACATGGAGACTTTTCCAGGAAATGTGTTTCTTTATTTAAATAAAATTAGTGCCAGTAGAAACATAATAATAAACTTTAAATACATGAGACAATTATATACAACTCAATGTTAGGAATTATATACATCAGTTTTTTACAGATACAAATACATTTATACCAAAAGTAAAGGACGAAGGAGAAAGCAATGGAAAATGTGACAACTCGCGCATGTCAGTCTCATTTGGAAAGTTTCAGGATTCAAGTGATTCCAGGCAAAGTGCCAAACTTAATTTGGCTTCTTTCAAACTTAAAACAGCCCCTTTTAGAGTAAATCTACCAAAAAGCTTTATATGGTCTGATCCAAAGTTCACTGAAGTAGATGGAAAAACTCCCACTGCCTTCAGTCTGCCCCGAATCAGGTCCTTTCTGAGCACAATAGAGCCTTTGTTCTGCTGTGGTTAGTGAGAGACAGCGATCCCTGATCCCTCGGCATCCTACATCACATTAACCCTCTGAGCCCAACACAGGCTTGGCCCTTCCCAACAGCAGGAGCACAGCAGATTCCGGCTTCAGTTCATTTCTGCCATTTTCCAAGCTGTCTCTCCAGCTCTAATGCCAGCGGATAAATCACAGAGCTGTTTTAGTGCAGGAAATACGTGGAGACGTTTTGCAAATATTTTGCTGTGCAATGCTTTAGATTCAGGCTCTTCAGCCCTCATGCTTTAAAGCTAATCAAAACACTGTAATAAGTTATTATAAAATATAAGGTATGATTGAAATATTATTTTTTATTTTTATTATTTTTTACTTCTTTTAAAAGTGCAATAATTTAGTAACAAATTTCATGAGCAGTTGAAAAATGTCACAGTACCATTAAACGGGGGGGGGGAAGTTTGTGGTGGTTTTAAAACCTGGTTGCTAATAGCTTTATAGAAATGCATGTGTCACATGCAAGCTGATTAAAAAAAAGATGTAATGCAATGTTTACCTACACTGGCTTAAACAGAGCAGAAAGTCTAGATTCTTTAATGATGTAAATGAGTACAGTTCTACTGACCTCAAATGGAGAATTTACCTCCAACAGAGAAGCACAAAATATTGTGCCTGTCATCTCAGCTGATGACTTCAGTGGGGCCAGGAATACACCCTTACTAGGTTAAATTCTATTTGGAATTCCACCTATTTTTCAAGGGGGCATAACAGAGCAGCATTTGTTCAAGCCTTTCTACATCTTACAGCCTGTAACAAAGACCTTTTAGCATCTTCTTTAACTTACAGATCTTTGCCTTTAGTGACCAAATGTACATATCTTAAAAAAAAATACAAAAGCAAAAAACAAAACCACTTTTCCTACCAGTAACTCAGTCACAGGCTGAATTGCAGCAGAAGGTGGTGAACCTGACCCAGCCAGTACAGGTATAACTTAAGCAAAGGCAGATATAAATGGCATGGATCTGAAACTGGGCTTTACAAACTGCCTAAAAATTTGGTGCCTTTTTTTTTCTCCTTTGTCTTTCACTCTTTCTGTGCCTAGAGTCAGTCTCCAGACATGATGCAATCTCCCTTCAAGTACAACATCAACAAGTCTTCAGCTTTTGAGGCCTCATTGAGCAAATCTGCTGTTGGCTGTCGTTTGTCATAAGAAAAACACAGTAAAAGTACTTCTAGTCTATCAATAGTCTTCTAGTTTTGTGTGAATGAGCATTATCCATAGCCTTTAAGAACCAGGCACTTGCATTAGGGTAACTTCCCTAAACATTTCCCAGATATTTACAGAAATCTGAAATATGCAGAGACATGCCAGTAATAATTACCTCGTTAGAAAAAACATGTACATTCTCCTTGTTCTTAGCTCTCATAGTAAGAAATAATAATGGAAAAATTAAAATTAAGCAACCCAATTATGTGCAAGTTACACTTTGGGGTTGGGTACCACTGCTTCCTTGTCCTGCCAGCTCTCGGGAGCGCCTCTGGCCCAGGGGCACAGATACCTGTTCAGAGTTCATTGGAGAGCAGAAAAGTAGAGCCACAAGTTCTTAGTGGGAGCTCCACTCACGCTTTGGCAGCTGATCAAGGGAACCCTGCAAGTGCTAGGAATTCTTATGGATGTTTTCCACAGACCCCTCGCTGCTCTCGTTGAGGAGTGTTTCTGACACTTCCCCTAGTTCAGTATCCAGCACTTCCTCCTGGATGGTGAAGTGCACATCTGGGGAGGAGGATTCGGAGCTCACGCTGCTGCCTTCCATGGAGCAGATGGCACAGGACAGGGATGGCACCATGCTCTCCTGCAGCATGTTCAGCATCATGGGGATCTGCACAGATTTCAGCCCCGCCACGGTTGGTAGAGGCTTTACAGCTTCCCCCCATTCTCTCTCCTCATCTTTGTAGAGCAGAAGCAAATTGGATGACTTCTCTTTTCTTTTGGATTTCATGTAGCCAAGCATTATCCCTATCAGGAAGATCCCATAGAAAGACATGACAATCAGAATGTAAAAATACTCATTGCTGTTATTCTTCTCTGTGCTGCGGGACTCAGCATCAAGCATGGCTTGGGTCACATTTGCATGGTCCATCTTCAGCATGGAAAGTGTTTTACCACAGCCGAAGCCTGGAGGAGAATGTGCATGGATATGTAAGATCAAACTTCAGAGCAAAGATATCAAAGAAACAACTGAAAAAAGATTGCCCCCAACTCTTCCTTGCTACTTGTAATTTGTAAGCTTGCAAGCTCCATACCTGATTGAAGTTCACAATCTATCATACCTCTGCATTACTATTGTAAGTGCATTAACTCTTATTAAGATACAGAAAACATTAAAGAAAACACATAATATTAAATTATCTTGAGTTCTAAGCTGAATTATAAAACACCCAATCCACATAATTAAAGAAAGAAAACTATATAGAAATACCCTGCTAGGCACTTAAATATAATTTTGTGCTATTTGATCATGTTTCCATGGTGGGGGAAAGTTAGAGGTTTTATTTTGTTTAATGATACAGGAAAAAAATAACCAAAAAGCAACTTACGTTGGTATGCAAATAATTCCTCCTTTTGCAAAGCTCAAGAGACCTTTCCTCTACCAAATGCCGGGTGTTCTGAAAACTTTCCTCTGCTGCAGTTGGAATAAATAGCTCTCAAGAAATGTTTCATCACGTGTTTTAGAGGCACAGTTTATAATAGTTTTGTGTTGGAGTCAACAGATGAACTTGAAGGATTGCAGTTCAACCCACTGAACTCTTAACAGCTGTGAAAAGAAAAAGAGTTGGGAATTCAGAATTTACTCTTTCCTAACCAGTTTAGCACTGCCTCTGTCAGCTTGTGAATCCATTCCTTTCACATCCCAATTGCTAAATCTGACCCGTTACCTAGAGAGCTGCTACACAGAACGGAAAACCTGCAGACCATTATTCTGTGTTTGTCATAACATATGTGAATTTTGTAGTAGACACTATCAAGTTATTTACATGCCTGCTACACATAGTCTTCACTGAAGAGGTGGGAAACAGGTTATTTTCTTTCGTCAGGATTAGTGACAAAGCTTTACAAAGTGCATGCAAATCAAAGTGGTGATTTTAAACTTTTGTTGCAGCTCCACTTTACCACAAGGCGTGGGACTGAGGAGAACTGAGCCCTGAGTCTCGAGTGACTTTTGGATGGAAGGGTGTTGGTGCCACCTAACTTTGGCCATCAAAGCAGCAAATATGGGATCTGGATTCCTTACATAATCAGTGGAATGGTGCAGACTCCTCCAGGAACAGACTTGGAGCTACTGAAGTTCATGGCCCCCTTCTCCCACTGTTTGTTACATTCTGTCTGCATGGTGTTTGTGCCTAAATAGACCAGGGCCACTGAGTCAACGTAGATTTTGGTATGAAGGGACATTAGCAATTTCTGGGCAGTGATGCTTTCCGAGTGACTGCTGGAGGCTGCTGTAACTGGCTGCTGGGCTGAGCAGGACACCTCCCAGATGGCTGGGGAAGGCAGAGTTAGGATGCAGTCTGGGTCGCAGGGCCCACAGAGTTCCCAGCTCAGTGGTACAAGAGGCTCTGAGACCCCTTTTCAACACGTAAGCAACAGTACAGGCCATGGGAAGAAGGAGGCCCAGCTTGCACCTTAGGGATTTCATTTCCTTATCCTCTCCATCCCCGTTCTTCACACACAAAGCCCAATTAGTCAGGCCCCACATGTGAATGTCACCCCTTCTGCAAAGCTTCAAGGATGTTTATGTAACAGAACACTCCACTTCCAGAAAGCAGTAGACTGGTGCTGGAGTTTCCCAACGGTAGGTCTGGGTGGTTTTTTTCCCCTGCAGTCACTTGTGGATTGTTTGCATAGACAGCAAATTCTTTTCCAAACTCTGCCCTCACAATCCCTCTGAGGTAAAGGCAGATAGGATTAACTTCTCTTCACATGTAGGAAAAGGCAAGAGAGAAAAGTTAAGCAACTTTAGATATAGTGAAGAATTCAAGAAGAGACGGAATTGTATCTGTGTTTGGAACCAGCATTTTCCATCATTTCTCTGAACAACTACACAAAGAAAGAAAAAAAGTTACATTAGCCAGATTCCCTTCTCTGCACCTTAAAATAGAGGATCCACCCTTTAGGATGTTGGTTTTATCTCCCTGCACATTCCCATGTGATAGCTCAGGAGCTGTTGATGTTGGACTAAAGTCTACTGGGATTTCATCTGACAAAATCTGTCTGCAGCACCAGCTTGCCAAGTCTGAATTCCTCTTCCCTGTTCCCGACAAATTACTGAGCAGGCAACAAGAGCATATCAACTAGTAGGCTAGAGCATAACCCAGAGCAAGTGTCTGGATTTTTTAGTTAATTTGGGGAAATTTTTACTTCTCAGCTCCATGTGATATTTGCTCCCCCATTCAGCTCCGGAAATTTGGTGTTTGAAAAATTAAAGACAACGGGTCAGGTTTTACCAACACCCGTTTATTCAAGACTTTCACAGAATGGTGAGGAAGTGCCCAGCATTGTTGGGCCAATGCAAATTGGCTCAAATCCTTTCACTGTGCCCATGAAACCCTATGAAACCAGCTCAGAAGTTGCTTAGTCCTGGGAACAAGACCACCTAAAGCTTGTCCTGCTGCCTTCTTTCATCAGAGTCACATACAGGCCATCACTCACCTCGGCACAAAGGCAGATTTAGAGGCACTGACACCCCACTGCTCCCACCAGTGAGCCAGCAGAGCAGGGGCAGACCAGCTCTTCTGCTGGCGCCTGCAGGGGCAAATAGAATCTCTTATTTGCTCCAAAACCTCACATTCTTCATGTAGGTGAAGCTCTGTCCAAAATTACCAAGACCAACTGAAGCACCCAACAGGAGCACAGGAACACTTCTTAGGTACATCCATAGACTTATGCAATTCTCCCAAAGTTTAACTGAAAGATGACTGAATTGCACAATTCTGCATAGCTATTGCTGAAAACTCTTTGCAACTGTGTTTACTTTGGCTAGCTGATGACAACATCTCTTCTCCATCTGTTAGCCCATGATTCTGAAAAACAGTTTAATTTTAAAAAGGCCTGGAAGGAATCCCTGAGCCTTCTATAGACACGAAGAGGAGGGATAGGAAGACACTGGGGAATAACCACCTGAAAAACATATGCCACTTGCTTACTGATGTCATAAGTCAGCTTTCTCAAGCTGTACCCTGTAGAAACTATATTTTTGTCTAAAAACAAGACATTGAAAATTGGAGCTTTTAGTTTTGTGTTTCAAAATTATATTTGCTGCGAATTATATTGTAAAGCCATTGATCACAGCAAAAAGCTTGCTTAATTTGAAGTAATTTATTTTTTTAGAGTGAAGCTTACTAGCTATTTCTTTTTGATGTTTCTGTCTTCCTTTCAAATCAATTTTTTTCCCCAAACTTCAGAGAATTTTGCCTTAAACTTCACTTCGAAATTTCACCTGAAATGGCACTCGTGCTTTCAGCAATTGCCTCTCATGTGCTCTTCTTCACCTTCTTTGCACCAGTCCCAATCAAGGCTATAACATTCAAGAATAATCCTCATGCTGTTGTTACCACCTTCCACATTCCCCCTTTGGAAAATATTCAGACCAATAAAGCAGAGCAACAGCCAGGCACTCCAATGATGAAAGGGTCACAAAATAGTTGTTGATGCTAGATATTTTTTCTCAAGGTCCCTGTCTCCTAGAGAGCCTTTTGTGGCAGGAACCTCCGTCACCAAAGGACGCAAACGTTGAGGCTTGAGGCATCCCATGGGGCAGGAATTCTTCACAACGTGGCTTAAGGGATCATATAATGTGAGCCCTTTCTCCAAATAAAAATGTGAGGAGAGTCAGAAAACTGAACAAAGACAGAATCCATTATGAAGAAAACATGAAACCTCCTCAGAGACCCAGATGACTCTGCAGACTTCCATGGAAAATATATGCCTAACCCTTCATTATGGGCATAATCCATGGTCTGATGCAGCATTTATCTTTCCTTTCCCAGTTAGTGAGTTAATAAGACAAAAGACACAAGATAACTGTTAAAGGGCTAGCTCCTATGGGAGGCTGAGCCTGTTTGATAAGTGTCTCCTAACAGTATCACTCTAAAGAGTACCCAAATATGTGCATTTTTGGAGGCATCATTTGAAAATCTGAAAAGAAATGAAAAGAGAATCAGGAAGAACAGCGGAGATGGTTTTTTTCTTCCTGGACGTGGACCTTTAATGGAAGCAATATTTGGGAATTTACCTCTAGGGAGAAAAAGGAGGGAGAGTTTTGCCATGCAAATATGGACTTTGCCATGCAAATATATAACTTTTAGTTATGATTTAGACCTTCGAGACACGAGTCGGCAAAGGACAGCAAATATGATATTTTTCACTCACATATATTATTTCAATTAAAGTAAAATTAGAGATTAAGAGCTGGGTTTGTCACCATAAAGGAAGACAATAAAATAGATGTTTGTGCCCTTGATCTGGTCTTGCACTTGAAGACCTGCCATGCTGAGATGTATATATTGACTTTCAGTCCTGCTGCAGAACACACACCTCACCCAGGACCTGAACCAAAGCCCCTAAAAGTTAGTGGCAGTGTCTCTCCTAAAACAAACTTCAACACTTGCTCCTTACAACTCAAAAACAATTTTCAGTGAAGCTTGTGAGTGTATTGGAATAAAAGCTAGTTCAAAAGCAGCAAGCCATTCACACATTCATTCCCAGAGTAGGAATGAGTAGCAGCCCAGCACAAGGCATGGGCCTCCTCGCTAGCAAGCCTACTTACAGTATGGAATTTATGAGCTTTACTATGTGCTCATAACATTTCTGTGCCTCATCAGTTCACCCACTTGTAAAATTAATCTGATATTTGTGCTGGGAGGTACAGCAGAGTAACAGACTGGCAGATCTGTACCTGGAAAGGTAACGACCACTGTGCCTGTGAGCACACTGGCTGGGCTGGTGCCTGAGCCATTCTCACACAGCTCTAGGTTCAGTGTCATTTTCCATCACTCCTCCTTATTTTTCATACTGCAGAAATAGATGACATTTTTTATAAACTTGACACAAGCAATTTCTAGAGGAAGATGGTAATTTTCTTAGTGTCATCCATAATAAACTGTGTTACCATCTGGATACCAAATGGAAGTAATGGTCTGACCTGTTATTAACTGTAAAAAACTTAGTAAAAGGCTACAGCTCTGCCTGCTACCTTACAGTCTTCACTGCGGAAAACATGAAAATATAAGTCTAGAAGATGAATGCATCAGTCTTCTCTCCAACTGCAGAGTTTAGTTTGCTTTAAGTCAAATTTTATTTAACCTTCATAGCAGATCTCCATTCTTGAAACTTGAAGTTTCTCAGGCACTCAGAGCAGCAAAAAAAAAAATCAGTATTAGCAAACACAGGGTTCAGAAGCATCTCACAGCTGAGGTGACCATCTGCACTCAGGCCCTCAACTCGAGCAGTGGCAAGAGATTTCCCAGAAGCCGTATCTGGAGAGTGCAATTGCTCTCCAACCACATAACAAAGATCTGTAAGGCAAATTGGTTTCTGATCCTGGACATGACAAGCAACAGAAAACCTCAATGATATCTGTAATAACAGTTTACAGTAAATTTAGTATTTACTGTAAGGCTTTTGT